AACAACAACAACAACAACAACACTCCACACAAAGGGGTTGATCGCACGACGTTGAGCACCCTCGAGGCAGTTACACAGTGCCTTCAACTCTGGGATTGGAAGCACCAGAAAACACATCCGTATGCAAGGACGCTCCATGCGACTCGCCGAATACCTCAAGGCGTTTCGCGCTTGGTGATGTGAGAGCCTGGTCCGGTGAGAACCCCGCGTGCTCCTTGCCGGCTTCGTAGGGATGCGAGGTGAACGGTCTAACGACTACGGCATGCACGACTACGATTACCCCCCCCTTTCTTTGTATGCTCCCCGCGCGAACAGCAGACTTCGACAAACTTGCCGGCATAGCTCAGTGGTAGAGCGGCACCTTCGTAAGGTGTAGGCCGAGAGTTCGATCCTCTCTGTCGGCTATAAACGTGACGCAAGTTTTTCCTTTGGCATTACACCCGCTATAAACTTTTCCACACGTGAAACAATATCACTTTAGACCACATTTACCACAGCCCCCCCGTTGTTTGCCATCGGGATTGGGTTTTCGTCGCTTGGCAACGACCTTGTAAAACAAGACAGTTCACTTCGTGAACTCGGCAACCAGGTTACCGTTTTTTTTTTTACCTCCGTTTTTTTTTTTGGCGGTAACCATAATGGTGGTCGAGTAGATCATGTTGTGCGGGGTGGAGAACCCTCACTCCGCGCAAGGGGGATGATCGCACCACGTTGTGTTAAAATGGTCAAGCACCCTCGAGGCAGTTACACAGTGCTTACAACTGTCTCTGGAAGTGAAAGCACCAGAAAATAAATTAAGTCATACGCAGCTGTCATCCGTACGCAAGGAAGTAAGCACAAGATGCCGAAAACCCTTAGCAGGATGCAGCGCACCCTTCATGCGACTCGCCGAATATCTCACGGCGCTTCGCGCTTGGTGATGTGAGAGCCTGGTCCGGTGAGAACCCGGCGTGCTCCGTCCCGGCTTTGTAGGGATGCGAGGTCAATGGTCTAACGACTACGGCATGCACGATTACGATTACACCCCCCTCCCCCTCTCCCGACAATTTTCTCCCCGGTGTTTACCATCGGGGTCGGGTTTTCGTCGCTTGCCAACCGTTGAACAACAAGCCGATCACTTCATGAGCTCGACGACCAGGTTATTACCGGGTTTTTTTTTGCGGTAACCGTACGATACGATTGGTATTTATCGAGTAGATTTTGTTATGCGGGGTCGAGAACCCTCACACTCCGTGTGGAACGGAGGAGATGCTCCGCGAGAGAGAGTGGAAGGATGCAACCATCAAGGTGCTGTACAAGAAGGGTGACCGGTCCAACTGTAACAACTACAGGGGGATTTCGCTACTATCTCACGTAGGCAAGGTCCCCATCAAGATCATCACCAACCGTCTAAGCGCCTTCTGCGAAGCCAACAACATCCTCCCGGAGGAACAGTGCGGATTTCGACACGGGCGATCCACCGTCGACATGCTGTTCGTCGTGCGCCACCTCCAGGAGCTGGGTCGGAGAAAGAAAATACCGCTCTACATGTGCTTCGTCGACTTGAACAAGGCGTATGATTCGGTGGACCGAGAGATGTTATGGAACGTGCTGGCCAGGGTCGGGATTCCCGCGAAGCTGATCGAAGTCATCCGCCAATTCCA